ATTATAGAAAGTAGTTAAATAAATAAAATGCAATGTCGTAATTTTGTTTACATCTTAGACCTAGTTGACTCTATTTTCACTTGAATCAAAAGTCTGTTGTGACCTGAACTATTTCTAGTTTGCTCAATGTGAACAGGTAATGCTATTTTACTCTTGTTCTTATTTATGTTCAATTCTTGTACTTGTTTCTTATTTTGTTCAATAATTGCCACAATAATCAGTGACTTGGAAGTAATGTTTGTCAACATAAACCGGGAATGACAGGTACAAGAATGACTATTATACGTGTAACTGAACTAATTATTATATTATTGTTATTTGTCCTTTTTTCTTAATAAAGACTTGGGGTTTAATGGTTCTCATTTTTTAGATAACATGGCTCCTAAAAAGAATATCTCTAGTGATGGAAGCTCGACAAAAATGCTGATGTGGACGCCTACTATGGATGCAACTTTGGGTGATGCATTTCTGGATCTATATAATATGGGACTTAAGGTAATGGCACTTTCATTTCTGAAATGACAAGAACTCACAATATAAAAATTGAAAAGAGCCAAATAAAGAGTCGATGGAAGCTCTTGAAGAAACACTTTTCTGATGCTTATGACATTTTCAAGAATTGTATGAGTGGATTCACCATAGATTCAATGACACAAGCATGGACAGTTGAACCTGAGGTTTGGGATGACCTTATCAAGGTATAATTACAGTTTTTTTTTTGAATTGGTTATGTATTAGGAATTATTTTGTAACTCTTAAAATCATACTCCCAAAACTGTGAATCGAATTTCTTTTTGTTTCAATTTTAATTTATATGAACCTCCTTCATCAAATTAGACTGCTTTAAGATGGAATGGGCTACAACTTATTCACAGATAAGTTTGGTTGCTACTCACATTCGACACACTTGCCTGTAGATAAAACATTCTTCAAATAGTATGTCATTTTATGTATTTTTTCTAGGTTAGCAATTCTTGTTGGGTTTCTCTGTTTTTATCTACAAGCATCTCTCATCTGGAAGTAATATAATATTGTTCTTCCAAAGAGAATGAATCAAAGTATTTTGTTTAATTGTCTTAGATTTGGTTTAAGCTCATTTTCTGAATTTATTTAGAAAAACCATTTCCTACTATACACGAATTAAATGTCTTTCCATCTGTTCCAGACCAATCTTCTTATTTTTACAAAAGAAGGGTATGCTTAGTAGTATTTCAATCCCTTCAGTATTATCTCATTCACAATATCGTGTACTTGGAGCAATTAATTAAGGTTGTATGGACCATGTTTATAGTAGGAAATGGTTTTAATCACAATATAAATTGTTGTTGGAATTGGGCTTTCAACCGCCACTGATCCATGTTTATTACAACAAACTTGTGATGAATGTGGATTTGCTTAATGATGTGCTTGGCTGTCCACTGGAGTATCGCAAAGATTTTATTCGAGGGACGTTTGGTGCTATGGAGGAGTCATGGTTCTTTGCCTATTGTTTAATGCTTTGTAGTTCGCGGTAGTGATATGAAGACTATTTATGATTTATGTTGTTGAACCATAGATGTTTGACATGCTTTCGGGATACATATTTGAGTAGTATGTTTTGATATTTAGTTTGAACACCATAATGACATTATAGTTATATTTGACTTGCATTACTTAGTTTATTCATTGTTGGAATAGTTTTAGTTTTTAAATCTTAATTTAAAGAGAAGAGCTTCTTTGAGGGCTAAGTATTTCAGTTTTTTTGTTTTGACTTTGAAATATTAGTTTCTTTTGAAGAGTAAATCATATTTGCGAAAATTAAGCTTTTTTGATGGATTAGTTTTTTTTGTTTATCATGATTATTAATAGTTTTTATTATTACAGATAGTTTTTCAATTTCTCTAAATCTTTTCAGTTATTTTCATATTTATGTAAATGCTATTTAGTGTTAAAATACAATACTATTGAGTTTTATATTTTAAAAGTAATCGAGCATTTATAACCACTGATTAACATTTTTGAATTACTCTTTCTGGGGGCAACTACATCAATATGTAATCATAGGTTTTACAACTGTGATGATGGTGAGTAATGGTTTTCCTTTTTTTGATATAATCATCGATTAAATCATTGAAACTGATAATATTTCATAATTTAAAATGTTATTACAATTGTTTTGATTGCTTGAAATAGTGCAACATTTGGTTTATGCCAGTTAGTTTCGATCTTTATGTATAAATCGAAGTAATACTAGGTTTTCTGTAATGGTTTAATATTTATAGCCAACAGTTTCTAATTAATAATAATTTCAATAAAAATAAATAATTAGTCATAGGATATCGAAATATTTCACTTATTTTTTAATATATCATGATTTATTTGTGAATTTAGCTAGTAAAATTTAGATTCAAACATTTATCTAATTTTACAAAACAAGCTATCAAATAAGGGTAAATTAGGAAACTTATCTTGTTAAACCTCCATTTCTTTTCCTCCAACCAAACACAAATGCTTGTCAAGATCCTCTATGAGTCTCTTCCCCTTCCCACCCATAGCCTCTTTGACATTCCCCTTCCCTCCCCTCTTTTGAACCAAATAGGGGCTTAAGCACACTTCTCCCATATTTTTATTTCAATGTAATAATAACCAATATAATTTTCAATCATCAATATTATTCATGGATACTGCTGGTAATTGATCCATCTCTATTACTGCCAAAAATATTTCACTAGTAGTAATGACAAAATATGATGGTCAGCTTCCACCACTTATAATGGTGATGAGTGAAGTGTGTTGACCACTTTTAAGTAGGGTTGTATACGAATCAAATAATTTATGCTCGATTGAGATTCAAATTCGACAGATTCAAATACAAATACAAATAAGAATACTATATTTGATTTGAATTGTTATCAAATACAAACACGACTATCAATATGTTCGATTTGAATGTTAATCAAATATATTCGATTAATAATAGTGATAATATAAATAATAATAGTAATAATAATGTATAATAACACTATAAAATTTTTTAAAACTAGCTAGCTATACCCTCAAAGTGTAGCCCATATATACATTTATGTACACACATTTCAAGCCAATTATTAATAAACCAGAAGTATCCTAAGAAGTAAGGGTTGTAAACGAAACAAATATTTTTAATTCGATTCGTGATTTGGATTCATAAATTATTATTTAAATTTGAAAATCTAGAATATAAATCCGAATATAAATCAATTTTTTTGGTTCAAGCATATTTGAAATATGAATACAAATAATTATGTATTTGATTTGAATAATAATGAAATATATATTCGTTTAACATAAACAAAATCAACTATCTAGTATGTGTGTGTGCATCAACTACCCACTATATGTGTGTAGTATAAACTATGTATCTAATGATGTTTTTTATTTATCAACACTGCTAAATATCTAATATAAAATTAGAGTCGTGACTTTGATATATACAATTATCAATTTATTTTACACAACATTAGTATAATTTCTAATATGTGTGTGATAGTCTTTATTTAAAAAACTTTGAATATATTTATGTATAGTAATCATAAATTTATTCATTTTGAGTATACTGTGCACAACCTAAAAATGGATCGATGCATTAAATTTTAAACAAAAAATGTAATGTTACAAATTAAATTCTACAAACACATATTAAGTCATACTGCGTTAACTAAATGATTGTAGAATGATTAAATGTAGGAAAGTTGTTTTAAAGTGATATTTGACTAATATTTATGGTTTGTATGACTTAATATGTGTTTGTAGAATATTAAGTGATATCACTTAGGAAAGTTGTTTTAAAGTGATATCACCTAGGAAAGTTGTTTTAAAGTCACCACCACCTCCAGTCACCGGGGAAAAAATGACAAGTTCATTACGAATGCCATATTTATGGCAGAAAATAATGAAAATGTTGACATTCGCAAAGAGAAATATGTCATGTTTTTGGCATTTTCAAGAAAAAGGCAGTTTTTAGGGAAAATGAATTTTTTTTCACCGTCTGGAGGTGGTGGTGCAGGGAGGTAGTAAAGGCGGTGGGAAAGGCATCCATGTTTTTTTAATTTTTTTATGGAGTTTTACTATTTTTATTAATTTTTTTTAAAAAATAAAAAATTAAAAAAATTTTTTTTTTTAATTTTTTTTATTTTATTAATATTTTATAAATTTTTTAATTATTTTTCCACGATGTTTTGAATTTTTTTCGAATTTATTATGAAATAAACATTTAATTAAAAGTTGTGGGGGCTTGGGTAGGGGTATACTTGTCCAAACACTAAAGTTACTCCTATTCAAAACATGGTACTCCTATTTTTGCATTTTGCCTATGTTTTGCTCCTATTTGGGGAATTCTCTCTAAAAATTAATCTTAATTAGACCCTGGTTCTTTAAATTTTTGTTTTCATAATTTAGATAAGCCACGGTTTATTATTACGTTTTTTACTAGGAAAAAATAATTAAAATACTCCAAACTTTGAAGGGGTGTGAAATAAACACCTCAAACTTGTATATGCAACTTAAATAACCCAAACTTTATATAAAAAGTTATTTTAACACCATAGTCAAGTATTATTTCTTTCAAAAATGTAAATTTATGGTGTTATTTGCATAATTTTAAATATTTTAGCATTCATGAAGACACAATTAACATTCTTAACTTCCATTGTGAAATAAATAATATTATCCCCAATCTATATAACTACAACGTTTTTAGTTTGTTATTTTAAATTATGCAATTAATATCATAAATTTACATTTTTAAAAGAAATAATGCATTACCATGGTGCCTAAATAACTTTTTATATAAAATTTGGGGTATTTAAATTACATATGAAAGTTTAGAATATCTACTTCACATTTTTTCAAAGTTTGAGGTATTTTAATAATTTTGCGTGGACTCCCTCAAATTCATTTTGTAATTTTTGTCCCTATTTCACACCCCTGCGGTTTATTTACTTATTATTGCGTTATAATCAAGTTCATTTTGTAATTTTTGTCCGTTGACTCCATCAAATTTGAGAGAGAAAATAAGAGGAGAGCAAATTGGAATCCCACTATCGAGTTTCAGCTTCTCAACTTGCAGACACAAGCGAATCCGCGCCTGGAATCGGTCCAAAGAGAAGGAACAGGGGCTGTTGGATTGTGAGTCGTCTGCTCCATATGGTCAGTTCACATTTTCGATTCGCCCAGTCCATCCGAGTCCGCGTTTTTTCGGGTCAGTAAGTTATCCATTTCAAACATTGCAACTTTTAAGATTCAGAGGTTCAACAGTAATTCAAGTTCTTGTTGCTATAAAATTTCATTGTCTGTCTCAGCTCATTCTTAGAGATTTATAATTCTCTTTTTGGCTTCTGAGTCCGGTTTTTTAAAATTCTGGCAAGTCATCGGAAGTTGAGAAAGAGCAGAGGGTGCTCAGGCCCCAGGAAGTGATACGTGGGGGGTCGAGGTGGTGGTGGGGTGAACCGGAAACAGTTAAGTAGCGCGGCAGAACAATTTAGAAACTACTTATTTCTTGATTGGTTTTGAACTTACTATACATTTGGAGAATATTCTAATTCTTTCCTAACAAGTCACCTAAATTGTGGCCACTTAGTTGAAATAGGGACTAAGGTAGATCCGATTATTGGGGTTCGAAAGTAACATCTTAGGTCAGCCCTTAAGAAGTGATCAATGTGTTATAGATATGGAAAGTTTTTGTTTTTATTTGTTTTTTCCTGTTAATCAAGTTCATTATGCTTCCTAATATATGTAAACCTAATTTCACTTCCCACATTACTAACAGTTTAAGTACATTGGAGTATTAATGATTTGCCTTCATCTCTATATTTGTTCCGAGTTCACATGAAAATTGCCATTTTCACATGGTCTAAAAATTAATAGTGCCGCTAGGGTGATTATATGTTATAACACATAAATACCGACTTATTTTTTATACTTGATCACATAAATTATTTTCCTTGAACTATAATTTTGATCAACTGCAATGCAACTTCTTACCTGCAAATTACGGAGTAGTTTTTTCTTAGCACTCTGGGCGGCATGTTTTTGTTTTAGGGATGGGCTATTTTGTAGTACGTTTGTACATTCAGCACTGTTGTTGTCAAACCATTATTTGTAATTGCGCAATGCAATTGTGCCTCATGGCGCGCCTTAGCTAATTCCTATACTATGGTGTAAAAGACATTGCCTATGGCTTTGGAAGTGTGGTGTATGCAATATTGCTGTGAGGTGTACGCAATATTGTATACGCACTAAGGCGCTGAGGCCTGGGAGGCATACACAATAGGAGGTCAGAGTGTACAGATTATTTGGGCCTACTTGGACCACTTTTTAAATTTTATATTGATGACTCAACTTTTCAGTCATCAATCTAATAAGTTTAAATTATGATATGTTAGGAATTTTGTTTTGATGTAACGGTTCAAAAAAGTTTAGTATTTTGTGGTACTTTAAACGTATTACTTTTGATGAATAAGTTTTACGGAGTACATTTTATTATGTTATACTCCGTATATGTATAGGGTGTGGGTCAAATAAAAACCATTCTTCCTCTAAAAACTGCAAACTATTCACTTTTTCCCCAACATGATGCACTATTAGGTTTCTATATTGCAACTTTTTCGCATTGACACAAAATTTTGACTTATTTACAAAAATGTCACCTCATTTTTTTTATTTGTCATGGCTCAACTAAATTTGAAAAAGTGCAGCAAACCACCCTTAAAGTGCATCACATTGGGAAAAAAGTTTGTCCTTCTCACGTGAAGGGTGATTTTTATTTTATCCAAAGCCTCTCTCTCTCTCTCTCTCTCTCTCTATATATATATATATATATATATATATATATATTACGCCTCAGGCATACACCTCATTGCAATGAGGCTTACGCAATATGCAATATTAAAGAAATACCACGATTATGCAATACCAATACACAACTTCAAACCTTGCGTCAAATATGAGTAATTTCTTCTGTAGTCGTTTTCCTGGGTCTTTTACGCCATAATGGGCAAATAGAAGTGTATTTTATTGCACTGAGCCCTTTTCCATTTATTTATTTGTAATACTTCTGTCTCACTAAATTAGCCAAGTTTCACTAGCAAGTGGAGTAAGAACTAAAATTTGTGTGGTTGAGATTTGTGCGTAGCAGCATAGGATTGGGAATAATATGAAACACAAATTTGTTACTTTAAAAGGAAATTGATGAAGTTTTTGGAACAGTCTAATAAGGAACATTGGTAAAGTTTAGGGGGGTGGAGGGGTATCGATCTGTTTTTCTAGATTTCAAGATAACTTCTTTATGAAGTTAGCATGTAGAGTATTTTTATCATCTGAATTGCATCATATTCTTTAAAAGGGGAACTATATGAGAGCTACTATTTGCTAAATGCAGGCTTTTCTGCCATGAAGTGTATCCTAAGTTGGTGCTGAATAAAGTAGTTGAACTATTGAAAAGATACTCTAATGATGGAAGTTTAGATGGCCTTGTTTGTCACTTCAACATGAGAAAATTATGACTAATTGAAGCCAAAGGCCAGAAGCTACTATCGATAAGGTGTGTGCATGTTTTTAGTAATGATGACCTCTTCATTCTCTCATGTTGCAGATGAACTGGCGGTAGCTCATGTGTTTGTGCTGCTTTATGCAAGTTCTTGGATATGAGTGAAATTAGTTGAACTTTGCTGTTCAAACTAGGAAATTGCTTTACTATTAAATACGTATCAGATTGTGAAGTTCTATTACCAAATTTTACGTGTAGATTTCATTAGACACATACCACTTCTATGATCATGCATTATTAGACTAAAAATGTTGGATTTTTCCTGTTTTGGCAAAAAAATATATATATGAGATTCTCTTTGTAACATGTTAGTTAATGGAGTCCAAATATAGTGTATGGGAAGTTCATGGAACCACTAAACCTAGACTCTATACAAGACTTGTTATCTGTGTATTTTTTGTGAACACTTGCTTGTTGCCATTTTTGTGAATTAAATTCATTACATTACAAAATAACGAAAATTCCTCATGTTTTTTATATGGAGACTTAACTAGGAAATTTAAGGGCAGTTTGGATGGTTGGTTTTGGAGGGCTGAATTTATATCTTGACACAGTCACATACATAGAGATTTTATAAAGATTGAAAGGATAACGTAATAGGTGATCATACAAGATTTCAATAACCCTAAAAATATTCCGTTTATCAAGGTATTGACTAACTCCTCTAAAGTCTTGCCCTCTGAAAACCAAATCCACGAATATTCTCAATGGTTTGATGTTATTGAAAATGCACATGAAAAGAAGGTCCATGATTAAGTCAACATTGATTATTTTCTTTGTGAAACTATGATTGTTTCTTATTCTTCCGAAGTATTGTTTGTTCAATAAACTGATTCAGTAAAACAAACATTTTAAAGAATACATCCTCCATATTTGTATAGTTATTCTGCTAGGTTTTACGTATACTTTTAAGAGTAAAATAGTAGGCGCTTTATATACTGAATAAAAAGTGAAAAGTAATAAAAGTAGGGAGATATTATATGAAAAGTAAGTGTATTTATGTAATCGTCAAATTCAAGCTCTTATTTGCGAAAAATAGAAATTGAAACAAGTATTTGAAAACTTCCTTAAAAAGAAAGTGGAACTACTATCCGAATACGGAGGGAGTATGCTAAAATGATTTCCAAGGTAGTCTATGCAAAAAAAATTGTATAATATAAATAATATAATCTTAAAATCATATTAAATCCTTAAATAATAAATTTAGATATTCTAAGTATTAAAATCTGTCAAAAATGTGCATGAGATAAATTGGTTAGTGCTTCATGATCAAGTCAACATTAACCACTTCATCGTTTGTGCAAAATAATATTTATTTGATTTTTGAAGAATTTAATCATAATTTGGGGCAACAGGTGATCATTTTTCGAAAAGAACACATCAAAATATACCAAATGGAAATATCATCCGATTCATACTCTGTTGTATACATATGCATACCTGTAGCCTGTAGGACTTTCCAAGCAGCCTGTAGTTACATATTCTTTGAAAACTATGGAAATCTTGGTAGTCCCGATTTACCCCTGTAATTCCTGTTCAAAGATAAAGTTGGTCATGGATGCTCCCTCTTTGATCTACAAATGGTGTTATATATTCTAGATTTATCAAGCTGTTAAATTCTCTTATTTATTTCTCTCTATAGAATTTATGGTCATCACTCTTTGATCACTCTTTTCAAACAACAGGAGAGATGGAGATTTCATTACTAAAAGTGCTTCTGGACAACATATCCAATTTTTTCCAATTATCAAAAATCATAGATTCCGTGCTCGTGCATAGATATTTTCAGAAGACTGAAGACATACTGAATCTCCTGAAGCAAATTCTCAGTGGTATTGTAGATGCTGAAATAGCTTCAGACGAACTGCTTCAAAAGATATTTTTAGGACTTGGTCATTCAGTTGATGAACTGAGAGAGCTGTTCCAGACATACCAACTGTTGAGCAGTAAACTATATTTTGTATGTTTTCACATCTATACTTATAATCTATGATGATTTGTGAACATTGGATATCTACCTACCTATTAGCCCTTTACTTCATCCATAAAGAGCATTACCCGATGCAGCAAAAAAGAACACTTAATGGTTTAATCCAAACTTAAACTATGCTGATAGTTTGCTGAAAAACAGATTCTACTTGTTGAATCATTGATTGCAAAAGTTCAAACTTACTGCCTGAGAATTGTTGAGCTACTCATATCTTTCGATTATTGCCTCCCTTCTGAATCAAGTTTACCATCTCTTGAGGTATGAACCTAGTATAAATTTATAATTTGTATATAATCTTCTCCATTGTCTCCATGCACCATTTTTTTAAAATTAAGGATCCGTAGATTTTGAACACCCTAGTATGGATGCCTTAATCTTTTTGGTTTTGCAGAACTGTGTGCTTAAATTTAAGTCTATGGATTACGAACTGTTATCAACAACAATCACAAAAGCAATAAAAATTCACGGGGAAGGTTCTGGAGCTATTTCAGACAGCCTTACAAAAATTGCAGACTGCTTGAGCTTAAAGTCAAACCAAGAGCTCCTTATCGAGCTTGTGGCCCTTGAAAAACAGAAGGAGAATGCTGATAAGAACGAGGAGGTTGAATACATAGAACAAATAATAGCTCTTGTCACTCATATGCATGAAAGCCTCATGATGATGAAACAGAATGAGAGGTGTACCCCTGTCCAGATACCTTCTGATTTCTGTTGCCCTCTCTCGCTTGAGCTCATGACAGATCCTGTAATTGTTGCATCTGGACAAACATATGAACGAGCCTTTATTCGAAAATGGATTGATCTTGGCCTCAATGTTTGCCCCAAGACTAGACAAACTCTAACCCACACAAATCTTATTCCTAACTACACTGTCAAGGCACTGATCGCAAATTGGTGTGAATCAAACAATATAAAGCTGCCGGATCCAATTAAGTCTTCATCAGTTGTAGTAGCTCATCTGGATTCTAATGCACCTGCAAGGGATATCCATGCCTTCTCGCATTCAAGAACCAACTCGCCAGCATCATCTGCCAACTCAACTCGGTCTTCAGATTCCCCAAGGAGAACTTCATTCTCATCTAATGCAGTTCAAATGGATGTTTCATCTGTTCCCATAACCAGGAGTGTTGACTCGGACGGTCATTTCTCTATGCCGCTGACCGTGATGAATAGCACGTTGTCTGCTGATGAAGACTCCTCCCATCAAGGTCATAACCGAACCACCTCTGCACCAAGTTCACTGTCTAACCCAAACTTTTCACAAGCAAATACTGAGCACGTGAATGAAGTATCTTTACCCACCACTACTGCATCTGCTGTAGCTCCTCCTCCCAAGGAGGTTGCGTCAGGTAGAGAATCAGAGTTCTTATCCCTGCTGGGAGCCACAAGACTTCGTCCTCCGTCAACCTGGCGCAGAACATCCTCCCTTTCTACTATTGAAACAAGGGCTGATCTGGTCGAAGTTGAAGAGAAAGTGAGGAAACTTATTGAGGACTTGAAGAGCACTTCCATAGAACTGCAGAGAAATGCAACATCTGAACTCCGTTTACTTTCCAAACACAGCATTGACAACCGGGTAATAATTGCAAATTGTGGTGCTATCAGCTTATTGGTCAACCTGCTGTGGTCCGAAGACATGAATGTGCAGGAAAATGCCGTCACGGCACTTCTAAATCTGTCGATCAATGACAACAACAAGACTGCTATAGCAAATGCTCTTGCAATTGAACCCTTGATTCATGTCCTTGAGAATGGGACCCCTGAGGCGAAGGAAAATTCTGCCGCAACTCTGTTTAGCCTCTCTGTCATTGAGGGCAACAAGGTCATGATTGGGAGGTCTGGGGCAATAAAGCCTCTTGTTGATTTGCTTGGAAATGGAACACCTAGAGGCAAGAAAGATGCAGCTACAGCTTTATTCAACCTGTCAATACTTCACGAAAACAAATCCCGGATTGTGCAAGCAGGTGCAGTCAAACACCTTGTGAAGTTGATGGACCCGGCAGCAGGGATGGTTGACAAAGCAGTTGCTGTTTTGTCTAATCTTGCTACGATTCCAGAGGGGAGAATATCAATTGGTCAGGAAGGAGCGATCCGTGTTCTGGTTGAGGTTGTAGAGTTGGGGTCCGCGAGAGGCAAGGAGAATGCAGCTGCTGCACTCCTGCGGTTGTGCACTAATAGTGGTAGGTATTGTAATATGGTTCTCCAGCATGGGGCAGTCCCACCGTTAGTAGCATTGTCCATGTCAGGCACCCCTAGAGCGAAAGAGAAGGTATGAAGCTATCAACCACATATTTTGTTAGGTTTCTTCCTCTAGGGTATGTTTGTACGGATGGTTTTGGAGAAGGGTTTGGTGGTGTTAGTGTTAGTCTATATCTTGATATTTAGAAGTGATTTTATAAAATTTGAAATATGAACATAATGTGTGATCGTATAAATTTTCAAATCCACCATCTATAAGAGCCTTAGGACATGTTTACTTCAAGGGTTACTAAACAGTGCTTATTAAGACTCGAGCTAATAAGCGGCGCATAAAATAAACGGTGTTGTAAGCTCATGTTTACTTCAAAGGATTTAAAATACCGTTTAACGTTAAAATGTCCAAAATAACCCTATACATATATAGACCACACAAACATTTATGAACACAAGTATATAATATAATATGTGGGGGTCACCTCGTACGCGTAACCATACCCCTTAACCCCTACCCCGCTCCTATACCCCGCACCCCCACCCCAAATTCATTGACCCCTTCCCTGCCCCTACCCTTACCACGACCTTACTCTCTACCCCTACTCCCCTACAACCCTCATACCCTACCTACCCCTAACCCTTACCCTGCGAGGGGTGGGGTCGAGGTAGGGGCAGGTGGTATGGGGTAAAAGGGTAGGGTGGGTGTATGATCGGGGGTAGGGTAAGGGGTAGGGGGTGGGGGTGCGGTAGGGGCGGGTGGGTAGCGGGTAGAGGGGTAACAATAGGGTAAGGGCAAGGGGTTAGTGTAAGAGTAAATTCGGAAATTGAAAAAATTTAAAGTGTCGCTTAATTAATACTACCTCCGTCCCTTAAAACTTAGCCAAAGTTGACCGGCACGGAGAATAATAAAGTAAAAAATGTGTGGTTGAGATTTGTGCAGATGAGAGAGAAATAACAGAAATCACAAATAATTGATTAAAATGGAAAGTGACAAAGTTTTTTGGGACGTCCCAAAAAAGGAAAGATGACAAAGTTTTAAAGGACGGAGGGAGTACATGGGGGAGTGGTATGCTTAGTAAGCGGTACTTTAAACACCTCTTTCGGTTAGTAAGCAGCTTTTTAAGCAGTTTGGGTGTTTACTTCAGCTGTATTACTTACCTAACCGTGACTTTAGCAGCGAAGTAAACACCTCCTTAGTTTTGGCGGTATGGGAATTAACTTGTTGGATTTTACATGCTCCAGGCTCAGGCACTTCTAAGCTACTTCAGAAACCAACGCCAGGGTACACCAGGTCGGGGCTGATGTCATAGTTTGAGCTTACGAAGAGCATACCAGCATACAGGTGAGGCATTATCTTGTGTGTGTTTTAAATGGGAATATTTATTTTGCCAAAAAAAATTGGGAATATTTATTCCACATGATTTCTTTGACCGACTCTGATATGTGACTGGGATGAAAAGCTTCTTAGAGAAGTATAAATGACTAAATGAGTGCATCTCAAAACAATTTCTTGGTGAATTTTGAGAGAATTCTTTATTCTTATAGGCTTATAGCTATAAAATAATTTATTTTGGTTCAGTAGTGAAAGTTGAGTGTATTTTTCTTTTCGGTTTCTTTTAGGGTCAGTTTGGAAGGAGGCATTAGGAATGGCATGAAAATGGCTTTGTCTATGTCTCAATAAGTTGTGTGTTTCTAATTTCTAAAGCAAAAATAAGTACTTTAAGTGTGGCGATCACAATATTACGTTTCTCTTTCTGTTTTATACAATCTCAAAAAATATATATAGACCAGGCTTTCCTAAACTTTGCCTTCAAAGCCACTCTAAAACCCTCCAATCCAAACAGACCCTTAGAACATGATATGTATCTTTGACAGTGACTGAACGTTTTCCAGATTTATATGAAGCAATGCAGTTATGACAACTCAAGTTTTTCCCGAGCACAGTGATCAAGAATTGATTTATGAAAGAATAGACACACCAAAAGATTTACTTTCCCGTATATGTTCAGACAGTTCAGTAGGAGCAGTATTTTTACAAATAATTATTTATTTCAGATTTTCAGGGAATTCCATTTGTTTTACTGCAATGACTGAACCTCCCCTTGCCTTTGTTTTGCAACTGAAAATCAATTTCGAGTAGTTATTTTTTTTTATAGATATGAACGATATGTGCCTTGAGTACACATCATACAGCATGCACAATATATTGCATGTATAGAATTACTTAATTAGTTGCGAAATGTACTTGACTACTTTCAACACAACAGCCGAGAAGTATTATAAACATCCTCGCTCCATATACATTTGCATATATATTTATTTATTCGGTGGCATAAATAAAACCTGTTTTTTTAAACCTGCTATTTTATTTACAATAAATAAAATTTGAACAAGGAGAAATGTTTTTATTTCCTAATAAATTAAAAACCGATAATTAAAAATATGCATACACAAAATAAATTAAAAATTAAAAATTAAAGGAAAATTTGAAAATAATAATCTCAACTATTGCCGGTCCGCTAACAATAATCCCCACTATTGATTATTTTTGTATAATTCTAACTATATGGACCATCCGCCAATAATGATCCATGACCGCATATTACATGCTCTAACAAGTGAATTTTTAATAGAAATTAAGCATAAAAATTAAAATTTGGGATTATTTATAGGGATTACTTGCTCTATCTCTTTAGAAACTATAGGAATTTATTTATAGTCGGTCACGTCGGATCATTATTAGCGGAAGGTCCCTGAAGTTGGGATTATTCTGAAATAATCGATAGTTGGGATTATTATGAGCGGATCGTCAATAGTTGGGATTATTACAATCAATTTTTCCAAAATTAAAATGTTATTTTTATTTTTTATCTGATGAAGAAAAAGTGTGGGTGAGATCGGATCGATTCTTTGAAAGAAAATTAGGAATCATTTAATGAACCTTTAATCTAATATTGGTTCAGTTCAACATTTTTTTGAAAAAACCGATAGTATCGTGTTGTTGCAATTTTTATATGTGATCGGTTAACCATTAACAATTAAAAATACAGTTCATCCCATTAAAAGTTTATGGTTCTCACTTTCTTTTTTAGACACCTCATATAAAAGTTCATATTTTCATTTTAGGAAACAATTAACAATCTTAAATGACAAATTAATCATTAAATATTAAAAATAATACATTTATAACATCACAATTACTAAGATTAACACCATTATATAATATACCTACTAAAATTATTTCTCAAAATCTACTCGAACTACCTTGTTTAATTATTGTCTAAATGATCGTGTCATTTTGTCATTAGAACCTTTGAACGGGACGGAGGTAGTATTTAACCATAAATAAGTAAATAAATTTTTATAAGCTAAAATGTTACCAGGAAACCATTAGGTAGTATTAAGAAGAAAAGCTCTATGACACATGTGCTCGTACTGTATGTAACAATGAGTATAACAGTTGTGTAATGATTATCATTCTTACTCATTGACTAGTGTAGTATAACAATGAGTTGGAATGAGACTGAGTTTGACCTCTGAATTTTGAATTTTGTGATAGAAATAAAATACGAATGATTAGACCTGATTTATTCTTGTACAAGTCCACATTACTAGATTTGCATAAAACATGCAGTTGACCTCTTACGACGTTTAAACAATTAAACTTATGAATGTTACTTAACATTGTTCTTGTTTAAATTTGTGTTTTTCATAAAATTGAAAAATATTACGCATATGAAATCCATAAATTTATGCAAATCAAAAGAATTTATTCATAAAAAAATTAAATTTTAAAGTTAATTTACTTTTTAAAAGTTCATGGTTTAAAAAAACTATCACAGTTCAAATATAATATGTAGACTTAAAATACATACATAATCTATATGGTATACCTCACACTCTTTATGGTGGTTGCTCATGAATTTTGGTGTACGGATTTGTGTGGATTTTTGGAAAAAAGTGTTTAGGTGTTTACTATTGTGGATTTTGATGTGCCCATTTCCCAAAGAGAGGGTGAGATAAGAAGTTTAGACTAATTTCGAAAGTGATAAATATCAAATTAGACAATGTAATTAAATGTAAAACTCATATCAGTCATTAAGACTTCAGATCAAATTAGACATTATAGTTAAGATTTCATTAAAATTTCATAGTCCATTTTGATCATTGATATTTAATAGTTCTTCATTTTTAGACAATCTTCAATAGAATTCGTCAATGCTAATTCTCTTGCTTTTTTTGTCAATAAACTAACTTGACTATTATATTTAGTTATAGAATATATAATTCGACTTTGGAATATATAATTCAACATTTTAATTAAGAACATCTCATATCTAAATAGTTAAAAATATACTTTTGAATTTACTGAACTTTGGGAAATAGCTGTGTTAAATTGAATAAACAAAATTAAAGTTTTGTTAAATTAATTCTTATTTGATCCATTTGAAACTTTGATGTTCAATAGAAGACTTACATGCTTATATATATACCATGGTGTTCAATTAATAAAAAGTAGTTAAGTACAATTGCATTGATACTAAACATGTATATACTATGGATGATTTCGAAAGGCAAAAATAATACAGATTTTTTGAGACAAACAAGTTGGCAAAAATGGAAAAAACACAGCGCCACAAGAGGGAGTAAATATTTTCTTAAATCGTCTATTCCTAAATGTTAGATAGATCTTCAAGTTTAAATGTTTAATAGGTTAAGAATAGATCAATTAATGCTATTAATATCTTCCCATCCTTCCCCTCTCAATTCCCTCTAACCAAAGGAAGGGTGACCAGAGATTAGAAAATGATCGGGAAGGAGTGGGTAGGGGTGGACTCGGGTCCGGGTCGAGCCTAGGCCCGGGTGGGCCGGCGGTTCAGGAATGGTGGACCCGGGACCGGCCCGGGTAGCCACCGGGTCCAGTCCGGGTCCGGGCCGGGCCTCTGGTTTTTTTTTTTTTTTTTTTTTGCTTTCCTAACCCCCCCCCTCACCCCCACCCTCCCAAACCCCCCCAAACCCATCCTACCCATCAAGTCCAACCCGGGTGGAACCCCAAAAATGGAAGAAAAAAAAATCAATTTGGCCCGGGCTCGACCCGACCCGGCCGGTTCACCAAATTTGAGACTCGAGCCCGGACCCGCCCTACCCCCCGGGCTAGGCCCGACCCGGACCCGGACCCGAGAACCGGGCCGATCCCGGTCCCGCACAGTAGCGGGCCAGGCCGGTCCACGGGCCGGGTGGCCCGACCCAAGTCCAACCATAGGAGTGGGCATTAACAAATGAGCAACCAACCAAAAAACAGGGTTTTATTCATTTGAGACTTTTGTAGACATATTTAGATTTATATAAATGTGAGATTTTAGGAGACATTTGAGACATTTATATGGATTTGGCTGGATTTCTACCCGAGACATGAAACATATATGTACTTTACTTTTTATGGAAGATTTCCCAAAATAGGAGGAAATGGAGTTTGAAATTCCAAAATAGGACGACTAACATAACAGTATTTATTGTCATCTCATAGACGTGACTGCTAAATAGTTGCAGTACAATGCATTTAACATGACAGTATTTATTATAATTAATGACGGTATTTTCAATCATGACTATTTTTCATATATGACAGTAACAACTCCTATTTTGGGAGAAAAACACATTAGTCCTATTTTGGAATTCCAAATCTCATTTGCTCCTATTTTGGGCAATTTCCCTTTTTTTTATCTTAAAAATAAATAAAGAAGTGTCTTTGATGGTATTTTTCATACTAATAAGACCTGAGGTCTTGGCCGACGGCCCGACAACAACCCGCAGCAGGGATTTGGACAACACACTAATGAAAATGAATACTAGATCAATCGTAACCCTTTCATGGCTAACTGGAAGTCTGGAACATATTGCAGCAAATTTCAAGCAACCAAGATAATAATTGATGATATAAGCTTTACACTCAAAAACCATTGGATCCATAACCCGAAAATATGAACGTAGTAAGAGAAGGGATGATCCTGAAACCCTAGAGATAGGCGGTGGCAGTACAGCTCTACGCCTCTACACTTTCCCAGCAAATCCCAAGTATTTTGCAAAATGTCTTACTTAAATACACAAAGATTTTTGAAATCTTAAAATGTCTAAAAAAAGTCTCCTTTCACAGTTTCACCCCCCAATGTCACAGCACCAAAGACCAGGGCGTGCTCTATTCAATAGAGTCTATTGCACATGTATAGCTAGGGCTCAAAATTCGTAGACTAAATGTGCATAATATAGATGCATAAATTTGATTTATTTGCAATACTTGTTCATTAATTAAGTTGCTTCAAAACAAACTTGCACTATAAAAGCTACTCCACTACATAGTTTTTTTTTTAAATTCGACTTATGTCTAATTCAAGTAGGACTGCCATAGTGCCATGGCAGTGTAAATACGAAGCCAATGACCACACAATATGAAAATTCAGGGAATGAATGCAAAAACAGGAATAAAATTGCATTAAATCGTAGGAGTAACAATTACATTGCAAGATGTAAAAATGTACTCTCCACTACAATATGTAAACCCTTGATAACTAAAAGTCTGCAAAAATGAAATATCCTCAAGAAACATAAAGAAAAGAAAGGATTGGTTTTCAAACCCTCTTAGAAATGAGTTATTCAAATGGGAACTATTTCAACTATAATGGTTTTTAATTTAAAACTCCAACATTTTCATCACCATCTTAGAAACGCTAAAGAGTAACAAAATAAATTTTAAGCCCCACCAGAGCCATACTTCTTTCCAAACACAATCACCTGAAGCTTGTCGTATCCTGCTAGAACACCAGCACCGGCAACAGCACGGAGGATGTTTGCACCAGCCCCCTTGAAGAGGGATTTTGCACCCTCGTTTTTGAGGATCTGAGAGAAGGCATCAAGAGAGCTTTTGTACTTGACTGCTTCACCAGATGTCATCATCATCCTTCTACGGACAGTATCAATTGGGTATGAAGCAAGTCCAGCACCATTTGTAATCAGCCAACCAAGAGCAAAGCTGGCAAAGAAACTATCCTGTAAATATAAAAATTAGGAAACCGTTAAATCTTAAGAGCCCATTCGGTGAACAGGTTCGAAGTAATCTACCACAAAAGTACTTGTCCTCTTTGATAGCACCAGCCAATTTATTTATGGAACGTTTGTATGTGCTCATAAAAACACTTTTCTTTGGTTCAAAACCTAAAAGTTAAGTAAAAGTAGAAGTGCTTGAAATTGCTAAAAGTCAGAGTTTACAAGGAGGTCCGAGTTCTGTATGAATTTGAATACTTTATAGCTAAAAGTTAAGTAGAAGTGCTTGAAATTGCTTTGCATTTATTCTACAACAATATAAACTAATACTAAACCAAAAATAAAAACATTTTACCAAACCCTCCAACTTGTACTTTTTCAAAATCATTTTTTCCAAACGTTTGCAAGTAAGACTTTTTTTATATCTAACACAAATCCCTGCTCACAGGAAAAAGCTCCCCAACCTATTTGAATGAAACTGATTTAAATGAAGGGTTTTCCTTTCATAAAATCCATATAATCAATTCAGCCAACTCAGCCAATTTCAATTATATAATCCATTTAAGACAAAAAGTCCTTGCCAACTGGAACATAATAAGATGCAACATGGAATATACTTGGTAAAACAGAAAAGAACAAACCTGTAAGTTTCCAGTTAGGACAACTGGCTTTATGGAGTCGTACAAACCAAAGTAAAGACCCCTATACACAATGATGCCAACACATGAAATGTTAAAGCCACGGTAAAGTCCAGCAACACCATCAGAAGCAAGTGTCTTCTTGTAGACATCAACCAAACCATTGAATTGCCTTTCACCTCCCTTCTTTGCAGCCTTAGCATCATTAGCCAGGCGAGTACGAGCATAATCCAATGAGTACACAAAGAGTAAAGAAGAAGCACCAGCAGCACCACCAGAGGCAAGGTTTCCAGCAAACCATTTCCAGTAGCCATCACGGTCTTTCTTAAAGTTGAAGAGTCTCTTAAAGTAGTCCTTGAAAGCAAAGTTCAATGCCTACAATACACTTTAATATAATTTATTGCCTGATTATGTAAAGGTTTAGCTTCAATGATTCAATGATAAAATTGTTAACCTGAGTGGGGAAGTAACGGATGACATTAGCTGTGTTTCCTCTCCACAACGCCATGATTCCCTCATCCTTAATAGTTCGGCCAAAACAATCTCCAATCCCCTTGTAAGGTTCAGAGAGCCTCCCAGACTTGATCATCTCATCTTGATTTTGAATCAAAAGTTTAACCCGCTCAATAGGGGCGGCTGCAGTCTTGGAAACTGCAGCAGAAACTCCACCCATAAGAAAGTCAATAGCAAAACCTGCAAATCCTTTCTCAGAGGGAGCCTGCACAAAAACTGGTGAAGCATTTGCAGCGATCAGAGATCGGTCCTTGAAGGTTTGGAATGAATGCAATCCTGCATTGGTGTAGTTTCCATATTTTCTTTGATAGACAGCAGGACTTTGTGCTCCCCCGTGTAAGGCTACAGCATCTTGGGAAGCACTTGAGCTAAGGTGTACCTGGTAACCAACCTTCTGAAAGATAGTGGGGTGCTGGTACATATCGGCCATTGTGTTCAATATCAAACTCCTGAGAAGGGAACACAACAAAGCTCAGTCACCAAACATGTTTAAACCAATCAAAACGCTAACATGGCCTGCTCCTTCTGTTAGGCCTTAAAAGCTATTTATAGATATTGAACTGCCAAAGGTTCAGTATATCACCTTAGAGAGTAACAGGTGAGCATTCTATCATGTCAGTGTTAAAAAAGAAAACTCTGAAGTGTCATGGGTTGCACAATAGTAAAGGGCAAAACCCGTTCCCATTACCCCCCACCAGTTTAATTTTGTTTCAAATTCACTCAGTTTTTACGATTCTTCTATTTTGATACACAAGGTAATACATGAATTCATCAAAGTATTCTTTCAAAGCTGGAGCAATCAAACGCATAAATACACATCTCAAACAAGTAAAAAAGCATAAACAATATGGTAAAGATGAATATACACAGTCTCGTCACTGAAAACCTATAACATCTGAACACAATATATTTGCATTTACACAAAGGAAAAGAATAAAATCGTTTCATACGCATCTTACTATATACAAAGAGCTGTGGGATTATGTACAGTGTTCCCGTCCAAAAACTTGGGTCGGGTCGGGTCAACAGTGTCGGGTATGGTCAAGTCAAAAAGGTGGATCAGTAGGCTGAGATTTTTAAATGGCCGTTTATTGCAACTGACCAGGATTGATATGTTTTTGAGGCTCAATGCACGCATTTAATGCTTAGTATTGCTCCAATAAAATGAAGGTCAATAAATGCTGTGTTTGCTTTATGTAGGTGGTGTGAGTACAAATTAACTCTGCCGGATTTGTCAGTCAAATAAGTCTCAAATGCCAGCTCATAAAGTTGTTCATTCACATTAGAAAGTACCGTCAACAATAAATTTCTTCGGCGCTTTACAATGCTTTATTCGTTGGTTAAAGAAGAATGAGTGTTTGATCAAAGATAATTGTCCAATCACACATTTATTACTCGGAACATGCTATGTGCAGGAACTATTACATGTTTGTCTTTACTGGATGTATTCAACAAATGAAGGAAAACCCGTATGACTCTACTATAAATCTGGATTGGGTTACAAGTGCAATCGACAAAGTTGGATTTCTTCATGGGCTCTGCAGGTGAGAGTTGTGATTGTTTTTGAAGCACTAGCCGATTCTATGGGAGTACAAAGGCTCGATATTTTTCGAATGAGGTATGAAACATGTTATTGTTTTGGATACAGAATATATATTTTCAAATTATTTCTGATCAACGTGGCCTTGGTGAGAGTAAAACCATGATACAATATACCACGTACTACGTATATTATTAAGAACTAATAATATGATAGCCAACAATCAAGATGATTTTCTTAAAGATTGTAACTGGAAATTTATTCCAGGAGACTATCTCACTACAATCTTGAAACTTGAAACAAAACAAAGTTGACTTATCACAAGTGTTATATGTATAAATTTGTATTACCAGTTGCAATAGTTATTTATTATTTATTTAAAACATGGTACATGGTAAATACTAAATGCGCTACCTATGCTAAATGTACAACCTAAATAAATATATGCTCATATAGATGTATTTTAATGAAAGTTACAGCCATACAAATAAAAATGTGTTTCAAAAGCCATTTTTGTTAATGTATCTCAACTCTGTTTAAAAAGATTTATTTTATCCATACAGAATATGTACACTTCCAAGATTGTATCCTTTTAGAAAAGCTTAATAGGTAAGTATTTAATCACCCCATGCTCACATGCCAAAAAGGAAATACAGGGAAACCAGAAGTATGGCCTTTTAAAACTTTACTCAAGGCACATGTATGGCCTTTTGAAGATCATTATTATTGCCATTGGTGTTTAGATTGTTTATATCTCATTTGTTTTCTTGCAGGATTCATTGTCAAACATAAAGAGCAACTAGGTGTGCACGATCAACATTCAATAGCAAAGGCTAATGGTAAAGGAAAGACTCATATACAAATAAAGTAGATAAGATTGCTTTTGGAATGTAATATGGTTTCTAACTACAACATAGGTTTACTTAAAATACACTATTTTATCAAATGGTATATACCTAATGAACTCTATGACAAATATGTACGGTAAACTGATAAATCCACAAGGATTTGTTCTATCCTCACTCATATAGATGTTTTATGATATTAAAAACCTTACATATTTAGAGACATTAGATATAAACAGCAACTACAAATCAGATTTATCAAAAAACATGCATGCTTAGTGTGAATAGTGTAGTCCGGTTAACCTCAAATAAACAACCTATACACATGCATGTCTTTGTAAAAAACATTAATGAAAAACAAGCACGGATATGCATTAAAAAAATAGAAAAATACCAAAAATATTCAAACCTAATAAGGTCGGGCAACCGGTCAAACACAGATCCTATACACCGCACAGACTACCCTTCATCGGTGGAGCCCGATTCAGCAACGAACAAGCAGTGAATGAGATTAAAATCAGGATTTGAACAGGGGAAAACGGAGAAGGTCACACACGAAGATTTTCAGAGAGCATCGAATTAAACGATGACTCTCATGTGTGTTGATGAAGAGAAAATTGTATTACCTGGAACGTCTCTCTTGAGGGGTGCTGCAATAGTACGGATTTTGGGGCGACAGTGATGGATAGAGAGATTATACAGGGGAGTTAGGGTTAGAGACATTATATATGGTGAGTCCAATGGACCGATTTTGGATGGGCTGAATTGATTAATTTGAATATTTGAATATTGGTTTATGTTGTAAAAAGGATTTCAAATATTATGAAATTTGGGTTCCATCCAGGTCTGAGTACAGTCCAATAAAAGATTGAATGAGTCATAGTTGGGTTCATGTAGTATTGATTATATGGGTGAATTTATATTTTGTTAATTTATTTAAGTAAAACAATTTTGTTCAACTTATATAAATCTTTCAAAAAGTAAGATTGCATATCTTATGAATTATTCATTCCATATGTAGGACATAATTTTCATCATTTATAATGGGATCAAAGATTCATTATTTTTTTGCTTAGAAATATGGTTGAAAAAGGTAAAATGACTCACTAAAGTGTACTTCCTCCGGTTCCAAAACATCTTGACACTTTGACTTCACAGTTTTTAAGGAAATAAACAATGTTTGGCACTGTTTGCTCTGTTTGGCACTGTTTGACACTGTTTTGTGTAGATTTATTTGTCAAATAAGGCAAATAAGGAAGTGTAAAGATCTTTCAGGTACTGCTAAAAATGGAAAGTGTAAAGATCTCTCAGAACTGGAGGGAGTATGTATTTTTTTTGTTATGAAGCAGCAGTTAGTCTATGTAATTTTCGACGTGATTTTTAATATGAGTCTTTCAAAATCAGTCTCTTTAAAATTACTATTGGAAACTGCATTAAGCTGACTAATTATAGTTATTTAATTTCCATGGCTTATGATCAAATTTGAAATACCTATCTAGAGGTTGTCTTACATGTTTTCTTGATAGTAATATAATTCTTTTATCATAAAAACCTCCTACTTCTATTATTTTTTTATTATATAATTGTATAGTTATTTATTATATACTAATCTGTTTTCAATCATATATGGATTCTAATTTTATTCTTATCTTCGAACTTATTGTTACTTACTGATTTAAAAAATAATACTATGCTATTTTATTAAAATTTATCCCGTGCATCGCACGGGTGAGAATCTAGTCTTCTTAATGAAACGTACAAAAAACGTCCATTTAGTATTTATATAACATAGGATTTCTCGATCGAGTCTTTAAGAAACTTAAACATAGAAAATTACCGAATCAATCAAATTTGAGAACAGATCTGTAAGCAAGTCGGAAAAGAATAAAATAATCGCGTCAAACAAAGATTTGAGCATTCAGGAGCAGATGCACACCAGTAGAAAAAGACAAATCGAATATCGAAAGATTCAAATAAATTTAAATCGATAGAAGCTCAATGATTAGAGCAACGAAGGTGAAATGCATATATATACAGGATGCCATTAAAGTTCAAACCTTCACCCGAAAAGAAACAAATCTCACATTAAGAAATGATAGATCGAGCTATATAGAGCCGGGGATGGAAGAGGGTTACCTTCGCTCTATGGAGTGAACAGTGGTCGAGAGAGAAACCAGGAGCTATGTTGGAAACCAATGGTGTTATACTGTTCACAGATTATTGCGATTTATAGTGATGTGTCTAGGTTTAATCGTCTGCGTCTCGGATTACGCTTTACGGTGTGCGCCTTCCCATCTCCTTTTCTAAGTTACCGTTGATTATTATTCATCCATCGTGTGTGGATCTTGTCTTTCTCTTTCGCACTTTGGCACTTTCCCAAATTATGCTAAATTTTCATACTTTCCATCATACTATTATTACTAAATCTTTTTGGTGAACTTTAAAAAAAGAGTAACATCATTTCTACTTTCAAAAAATATTTATCATTTATTTGATAAAAAAATGCTTTTGAAAATATAAAATTGAATAGGATTTGTTAATATATAATTACAAAAAATAAATATTGTTTACAAAAAATGTGATTAGTGACAGAGTAATAATGGAATTATAATATTCTATGTTCAATTTTTAAATTGAAGTTTTCATGACATTATAATTATTAGTCATATTTGATTAAATAAATTTTATTTTAGTGCTCCGTACTATTTTTGAAAATAACCCATATAAAATAGAGAAAGCCGGTAATCACCCGTTTACATGCTTTTAGCATTTATGTGTTTAACTTAAATAGAAATTGTCACTTAAAAAACACATTTCACCTTTTCCAGCCAAAATCACTTTTTATTTTATTTTTTGCAAACACTCCTTTGTCATCTAAAGAAGGTTGTCACAATTCAATACTAAATTCATCTTTTATTAATAATCGTTTGACGTGTATATTCATAAAAATGCGTTTTTTTGTATAAAAAAAATAAGAAAGTGGTATTTTACTCAACGTAAATGTTCATATTTGATTCATTTTGTATTTTTAGTAATAGAATGTTTGATATATTAAAATTTAGTTTGAATTGTGTTATTCCAAATAAAAATCAAGTTGTTTCAACAAATAAATAAGGACGAGTTTTATATGTGTTAAGTTGTGGGATAAAAAGGGACAAAACTATGTCATATACTTCCCAACAAAATGGGATAGCAGAAAAAAATTAATAGGACTCTATTATACCGAAGTATAAGGTTAGAAGCATGTTAGCTACCTGTGATTTGTCTAAGAAATTTAGGGTGAAGCAGTTAATAATGTGGCCTAGCTATTTGATTAATAGATCCCTTTTTATCTCTCAGGGTGGTAAGTGTCATGAATCAGTCTTTACTGATAAGCCTCTGAACTTGTCTAACCTTCGAGTCTTTAGTTGTGCAACATATGTGGCCAGCCGAGGTGTAGGCCACACTTGAAAAAAAGAATAGCATTTGAGTATTACATTAGAATTGTTTAAAGAGACCTACGTCTATAGCTCATTTGACAACACTGAAATTAGTTAAACTTACTAAATCTGTTGAAATGATAAAAATTTAACTGAAACAACTGAATTTACTTCATTATGAAAAAATTATATGTAAGATATTTTATTAATAAAACATATAAAATATTATATATACACACACACACACTCCATCCGTTCTTTTTTGTTGCAACGGTCAACATTTCACATTTGTCAACGCACGTCTTTGACTGTGATTATATCTCCATTCTATTAGTAAAAAATATTAAAAAACAGTTTTTGAATATTTGTAATGAGATGAATTGAATAATATTTTTTTAAAAAAAATCATAAAATAATAGCATAAAATGTAGTCAAAGTAGAACATGTGAATAGTGTAAAATTCAACATGTTGCGATTAAAACGGAACAGAACATAGTACTACATATATATTAAATTAAAGAGTAGTGAAATGCTCTTCTAGAATATATTCATCCAATTCGGTCAGAGCATAACTTTGACTTTATGAATTCGGGGATGGATGAACATGAATTCGGGGATGGATGAACATTGAATATGCCATTGTTGTTGATCAGTTAATTGATGTTCCTACTGTTATTATTAGTCCCAGGGAATACTTCATGTCAGATACTACAACTTCAAGGAGTGGAGCAACTGAAATCCAAGAGCTTGAGTCATATTATGAGGCAAGAGTTGTTAGCAATTGGAAGATTGAGCAGTTGGTGATTAGGCAGATTGGTAAAACTCAATTCCAGCATGAACAAAGCCACCCGAGTGCTAATGATACGCTGAAGATAGGGGATCTATTGAGGCTTTTGCTAGAAGAAGGAAGGAGGAAGATTCAAGTATGGAAGATCTTAATCCAGCAACCAGTCAAGTACTGGGAGGGGAGAGGTGCAAGAATAAAGTGGAAGATCATGGTTGTTCCCTATCACCCACCTTGAGGACAAGGTGGATGTTTAGGGGAGAGTATTGATAGGAATCGGGCCTATTAGGCTATTAATATAAATAATAGTAATAATAAATGTACATGTAGATAATAATAAATGTACATGTAGATAATAATAAATGTACATGTAGTATAAATAGAAGGGGAAGGGAGGAAAAAGAAGTAGACAAGTATTCAATTGAGTTTAGGTTAGGAGATTGGGCATCTCGAATGGTCCATAGGCCTTGTATCCTTTCTTTGTTCTGTTCATCTTTGTGAATAAAGTGTTTCGATCTGTTATTGTTCATTTCTACTGATTTGTATACTGTTCTGAGTTAGAGAATTCCAGAGCTCTATCGATTTGGACCATGGTTTTATTACCAAGTTTTCACTCTTAACGGATCGGGTTGGTGGTTTATTAGCTGATAAGGCACTCTTAGTGGAGTGGCTCAGTGGTGTATTGCAAACAATAACAAGAAGTAGATAGTCCTATAAAAATTACCTGCCATGTATAATTGCGAGACGCTCTTTACCTGACAACTATTTTAATTGTGACATTGCTCATTAATATGATATCTAATTTTTTGGGAAGGTATCCCTCTTGATGGCGAATCAAGGAGCAAAGAAGCGCAAAGAAGAGAACATCCGGCATATGAGGACACTGCATCACACAATCCTTTTCTGTAATGTAGACACTTATTCTTATAATTTTTACAATTAAATAGTTGCGAAAATTATTATTTAGTTTTTTCTTTTCTTTTGTTAAGTGTTAACTGACTATCTATTTTCGTATGCTTATATAGGTTGTTTATCTGTTGGTGAGTTTTGGGATTTTCTACTCTAGTTTGTCATGGATGCACGGGGTTGGGCTAGTATTCACTTCTATAGCCTACTTTTTGCCTTACCAACAGTTGACCACCATGGCTAAACCTAGTTACGGCTTTGATGGCAAACTCCTTGACGGAAGATATGATATGCGTACTGGAGGAGTTTGCGGGTACCTTTGTATTTGTTTATATATATTAAGTAGCATTCCTTTAATTAGGTATTCAGATCGTTTCTAGTTGATTCGTGTTAAGTCATCCACGTCGGCCTAATATAAAGATATATATTTTGGACTGCTTTCCTATATGCTTGAGCTTCTAGATTGAGATTTGAGTCTCATTATCTTGTATCATATATTCGCGTATGATATGATAATAAAAAACAAGATATTGTTTAGTTTCAAGTAAAGTAATTACTATGTTATTTTTGGTAGATTGATTATGGTGCCCTTTTTTGCCTTCCGTATGATATCGTTTGTTACCAACTATATTCTATGGTTTTGTTTCTGTTTTAAGTCCAATTGTAATTTGATTTGTTATAGCAAAAAACTACTTTGTTATTGTCTTGTTGATTCAGAAGAAACTTATTATTAACTGCCTTATCTCTATGAAAAGTGTTATCCCAACAACTTGTCTTCCAAAGCACAATGGTGAAAGAAGTAATTTATGTTTGTTTTTGAATGCCGTTAAATGGAATTGGCTTACATTTGGTTTATTCTTGCAGATACTTGCATTATGTAATCTATATCAACTCTTTTGTTCAACTTGCATCTATCTTGTCGGGCAAGTTTTGGTACACATACCTAGTGGTAAGCTTCACATTTTCTTTTTTCCCCTTCCTAACAAACATCAGCTTCATTACAGTGTCATTGTTAATTAAGCATGTAGTTAGTAAGCTTAAGTTTGTACTTTTTCTCACGCGTAGCTTTTAAACTAGTACAAACTCGCCAACCTTTAAAAGGTTGCCAGAGATAGAGCCATAGAGGTTTTCTTATGCAAGTGAATGTGCTACACATTTTTTAGTGGCTTTCTTAATGAATGCAAGTGCCGTAATCTACTGGTCAACTTTTCCTTTTGATGCTGATGAGTGGTACCTGCATGAGTGCATGTGAATGTGCATGGATTTTATGTTTTGTATATGAAGATTTGGGTCATGGAATCATGGTTTTGATTGCCAGATACCAGGATTTGCAGTATACAAATCATCTGGATTCCTGAAAGGATTTTTGTCAAGTGGTTCTGAGGTACATATCTATCAAACCCTGTTTGGTTATCATGGGTAGTATCTTACCATTTGCTCTTGATTTTCTATGGGGGTTGCTAATGGTTTCGCAGAATGCAGAAGAAGATGAGAAGACTCAGAAAAAGAGAGAGAAGATGGAAAGAAAGGCTTCAAGAACTAAGTTTGTCAAGGCGAAAGGCCGATGATGATGCACTGTTATTGAAGAGACCAGTTGATGCTCTTTACGGTTGTGATTGCTGGTTTAAACTTGTAACATTATACTCCGTAGTTGTCAACCTGACTTGACCATCTGGAGATGCATTTCAAGTTTTTACATTTGAATGGATAAATCAATGCTTTTAAATGTTTTAATAGGAAAATTACATTTATACACAAAATTAGTACACAAATTGTACACACATCCTATTTGCCTATTTACACAGACACTTTGTTTAAAAAAATCAGTGATTGTCTGCCCATTGCGTGTATACACAGACAATAGACAATGTACAATCCGTGTACAAATTTTGTGTACAACAAGAATAACCCTTTTAAATATTTCTTTGAGTGGTGTCCTTATTGTAGCCACTTTTGATATAGAATTGGTTTCTCCCAAATTTTACGTACACTAGAATTGCTTTTTTGCCAAACAATTAAATTTTAACCTTTTCTCTAAAATCACGTTTGTTTTCCAATCATCACCAACTTTTATCTTCAAACATTTTCTCTATGATCCAGAATAATTATTTTTTAGAAGCACAAACAACCAAAACAATGCCATAATTTCACTTTGTTGCACACTCATGCTTTGATAGTTTGATTACTTTGATATGCAGCAGGGTCTTTCGTCCATTACAGACAAATAGCTTGGTGATTTGTAGTGTCGTTCATTGTTATTATTAGTTTCTGCTCAAGTAATTGATCAAAATAATTATTGTTGTTATGATTGTTGTATATTCAATTGATACAATTTCATACTCCGTATTAATTTAAAGATAATTATAGACCTTTCCTTCTAAGTTATTTATAAATCACTATCGACCAAGTCAATGTAATCCGTTGATAATATTCATTTTATTAATAAAAAGTGCAGAAAAATTAAATGAAAAGGATCGATTTTCCCCGCAAATTAATATCAATCTTATTTTAAAATAATGATTTCAGTCTTATATATTTAGAGCTCTACATAATTTAATGTGTCACAGAAAATAATTGTCATAAGCTGAAACCTTCTCCTAGTAAGTTTTTGATTATGTAAGTTATTCATTTGTATGTTTATTTGGTCATCTCCAATGCTGAGGTGAATTGTGCTTCCACCTCAGCAAATGCAGACCTTAAAGAGAAATGTCTATTCCAATGCAAAATAAAATAGACAAGATTGAGCTGATGTGGCATTTAATCATGTGGAACGCAGTCCAGCACAAGGTCCACATATAGACCTTCGGTGCAACCTCCTCACACAAAAAATGGGTCTACATTTACTTTTCTGTTTGTTTTCTTTTGCTTTGCATTTGATTTAGTTCATCCGCATTGGAGGTCTCATTTAATTGACCATCTATTTTTATCAATACTGGACCCACTTTTTTAAATAGACCTAGATCAAATTTTTGCCACTTCACCTGACTAAGAGCATTGGAGATGCTCTTTGTCATAAGAGTGCCTTCATAACTAATTCTAAAGGGTTATTGATTTCAATAGGAACTCCAATTACATGTGCTCACACATGTATTTGTGCGTTGTCATTATTTCATATTTCCATGCGTAAATAAAACTAAATAATATTAGTAAGAAATTTTGTTTTTGATAAATTTTTATTTTCAATTTTATGTTAAATGTTACTCCGTATTTGTTTGTTAAGGACTAATCATTTATTAGTTTGATATATTCTGTCCCATAAAATTTAACCAAACTTTCTCTTTATGTTGTCTAACAAAGATTTCTCATTTCCATTTAGTTTAATAAATATGTGACTAAGGTAGCTCTTCAGCACAAATATCAGACACACGGTTTTTACTTTACTATTTTACGTGGAAGTCAACTTGTTAAGTTTTATGAGACGGGGGGAATATTATATTTTATGAGTTTGTTGAGGTTTAATCCCGTAGATCCGAAAGCCCAACACAGACTTTGGATATATCAGGAAATGAACAATAATTCGGTATGTAAAAGAAATATAAAAGATCGATAATCGAATGCTCAAAAACCCACTTGTATTAATTGACCTGTTTGATTACAATGAAATTACCCGAACGGTACGTCGGATTGATGCTTAATACAAGAAACAAGATTAATAAGGCTATTCTAGGGCTTGAGTATTAAAATGTTAACCCTTACAATGATATTAAACCTTCTATTTATACTAATGGAGAGTATGGGACGTTTTATGCTGATTGGTCGATGTTCCACCAACTTGATCACCCATGCCTCCGCTTGATGAGGTCACAATCTGGCATTAATTGCGCCTGGCCACCTGCTGGTTGTCCGTTGCCCGAACGGGATAATGGGCCCTGTAAAACATTGTTGATTTGACCCAAGTATGATGTATGACCCTAACCCCGTTCGGTATGTCTGTTTTCTGGGCCAGCCTTTACTTGGCCCGAACCTCGTTCGGTATGAATATGGTAGTGGGCTCGTTGTTTGGGCTGGATATCCTGGGCCTTTAATCCGGGTATTGGGCTTCCGGGCCAATATCCCAACACGAGTCCCCCACTTCCGATGTCTCGAATGACAGTGAGTGCATTAGGAAGTATAAGTGCCATAATATAAATGCCGATTGGCAATCGGGGTACAGAAGTGGTCAGTTCCCCATACTTTGATTTGACGGTTGTCGTTTGAGTTTTCCCATATTCGTCATGATTGTTGATCTTTGCTCTTCCATGTGACGCGTGTTATTTCAAATAGTTCCAGTAACATGTCTCTATTTGATTGGTCTTTGATACGGCGTTTGTAAGGCTATAAATTAGCCTTTAGCTCCTCAAATCCGGGTTTCGAATTTTCAATCTCTTCGTGCCTGAACTCTTCCTTTTCTCTCAATCCCTTCAAGCTTTTCGTGTCCAGGTACTTCTCATCCCTTTAAATCTCTCTTTTCTTTGATCCGATCATTATGAGTTCTCGACTGTGTTCCGATTCGGAAATGGCTTCCCAAGGGGAAGACCATGATGTGGAGATTATCACCGTCCCTTTTGTTGAGGGCTCCAATGCGGCGACGACGGGAGATTAGGGCGGAGACGGAGGATTCCTTCGGCAGTTCTTCTTCCTCCAGTGAAGATTCCGATGACACCAGGTCTGATGATGAACTGGCTTCCATGGCGGTCGGACGTCCCAATGATTTCCCTCGTCACACGCTTGGCCAGTTGGCCTAAGACTGATTAGGGAGAGGCGGCAAAAACTAACTTCTCACAACAGGGCCGAAATTCCGGCCCTAATCCCAGACCCAGTGGATTTCCGATTGTGAGCTGGGCTTCACCCAATGCGCCATACCCCTGGGATGGTTGTAGTCCACTTCGATTCAGTTAGGGTCGGGCTTAGGTTTCCATTGCATTCCTTTTTCGTTTCATTTTTTAATTTCTACGAAATTGTACCGGCCCAAGTCATGCCGAACTCCTTTCGGGCAATGGCGGGCTTTATTTGCCATTGTAAAGATGTCGGTGCCCCGCCGACCCTAGACTTATTTCACCAATTTTTTAAAGTGCCCCCCCAAAAACACATGGATATCTGGCTACTAGTGCCTGAACGGGACATATTCTGTTTAAGGGCAATCCGACTTCAATCAAGGGGTGGAAAGACCGGTTCTTCTTTGTGTCTGTCCCGGACGGCCTGATCCCCCGCAAATGTAATGCCTTCCCTCGCAAATCTCCCGATCCAGTCCTTACTGAGGAAATTTACAAGGATGTGCTTGCTGTGGAGAAGGATAAATGTTGTGACATCATGAGTTACTTGACTCCCGATCGGCTTATCGAAGCCGGGATAGGTACTGCCCGTTCTCTTGGGTTTACTAGTTTTGAGAATCAAGTGCATTGGTCCGGACGGTCCTTCCTGTCGAGAAACGTTCTCTTCTTTTTTGTTTCCCACGTGATAAGGCCGCTCGGTACTAACATTTTCCTTTTTTATTTTTTAGCTCCCAATCCAGACGCACCAATGGACAACAGCCGTGTTCTGGGAGCCGGTGGGGTCGGGAAACGGAAGAAAGCCAGGAAGAACCCCCAACCCACTCATACTATAATCGCTCAGGATGTCGGGTCTTCTCAACCCGTTCCGGAGCCACAACCGCTGTAACAGGTCCTTCATCAGGATCCATTTGACGCCATACTGGTCGACGATCGGTTCGGATCTGATCAGCTGCATAAATTCCCTGAGCATTTCCAGGCTGCTCAGGAGACTGGTCAGGGTACGAGTGATATGCATACCGTCCATCTATCTGGCTAGGTCGACCGGATCTCATTGGCAGATCCGGTTCAAGAAGTTGTAGAGAAGGCTGGATGCTCGGCAAGTCAGATCTGGTCTACCTCCGCATTTTTCAATAACTTCACTGTTCCCAAGCTGCCGGTCGAGCAGTCTGAGGAATGATTGGCCTTAGCGGCCCTGAAGGTACTTTACTTTTCACTATTGCAATAACTTGTTATATATGTTAATCTTTGCTCTCAAACTTCATTGCCTTATTTCTCGAACGACATTCTGTAGGTTGGGCTCTATAGCCTGCAACTGAGGGATGCCCGGGTGGCCAAAGAGCGGGAGCTGATTGTTGCCCAGACTTCTGCTGAACAGAATGCTGCTGCTGCCCTTGCAAAGATGGAGGCCGAACGGAAATCCGTTGCCGAGGAGAGGCAGAAGTTTGAGAACGAAATGGGGGGGCTTCGGGTTCAGCTGACCACTGCCCAGGCTAAGGTTTCTGCAGCTGAAGTTGTCCAGGTCAAGTTTGTAGAGACAGTCCTGATGGTCCCGGATAGGGTAAAAGTCTAGAGGGGGGGTGAATAGACTTTTAAATCTTTTCAACCTTTATGTATATTTCCCTCTAGCGGAGTTGATCTATAATCTTTTGAGAGATTAATAGATGCACAACGGAAGTCTTTACCCTTTTATGTAATGTGTAACAGCTTTCTGTGATGGATGAAGTCTTTGCTTATTGGTGAGCAGTTGGCTAGGCAGTTGGCTAGGAAGCAGGAAACTGCTTAGTCGTCTGCTTACCAAATACTTGAAGTATGATGAGGGTTCATTCAGAATCTTTCTGGGAGTGGGAAGAGCTTCCTGATGATGTACTGAGGTGGATTGATAATCAACCTTAAATGAGAGCAGTTGTCTCAGCAGTTGGGTGGAAACCAGGGAACTGCTGAGGCACCTGCTGAAGTAATGGTGAAGGTATGGAAGGTTTGATTATATGGTGTAGCTCAGGATGATGTGGGCTTTTCTGAAGATGTGCTTTGGGCCAAGTAAGTAGAGGGTTTTACTTAGGCAATGGTCTTAGGCAGTTGGATGATAGTGAGGGAACTGTAGAGGTACCTGTTGGGTTATCACCCTGAATCACAGAGATTATTTTGAACAGACTTCTTAGAGATAAAGATGTAACGGTCTGGTGGTGTGAAGATGTTTACAGGAAATACTTTTGTGTAAGCAGTG